GGTCGACAGCCGGCTGAACATGAGCCGGCAGTGTGCCCAGATGGCCAAGGCCAATGTTATCCTGGCCTGTATCAGGAACAGCGTGGCCAGCAGGCCCAGGGCAGTGATCGGCCTCCTGTATTTGGTACTGGCAAGGCTGCACCTTGAATACGGTGTTCAGTTTTGGGCCCTTCACAACAAGAAAGACACTGAGGTGCTGGAGCGTGTCCAGAGAAGGGCAACAAAGGTGGTGCTGGAGCACAAGTCTGATGGGGAGCGGCTGAGGGAGCTGAGGGTGTTTAGTCCGAAGAGGAGGCTGAGGGGAGACCTGATCACCCTCTACAACTACCTGAAAGGAGGTTGTAGTGAGGTGGGGGTTGGTCTCTTCTCCCCAGTAACTAGTGACAGGACAAGAGAAACGTCCTCAAATTGTGCCAGCGGAGGTTTAGATTGGATATTAGAAGAATTTCTTCACCGAAAGTGTTGTCAGGCATTGGAACAGGCTGCCCAGGGAAGGAGTTGAGTCACCATCCCTGGAGACATTCAAAAGACATGTGGACGTGATGCTTAGGGCATGGTTTAGTGGTAGACTTGGCCATGCTAGGTTTACAGTTGGACCTGATGATCCTAAAGGTCCTTTCCAACCTAAACGATTCTATGATTCTAAGGCTGAAGGCCTCAAGGGGACAGGGTGGCTCCTGCCTTCTCTCCGGGCCGGTGCAATGCAGAAGCATTAAGTATAACAGGTAGGAGAGCTCGTATAGGTGACACTCTTGCATCGGGTTTTGGCAACAAAACCTTATTACCATGAAAACATTTCCAAACATCCATTTTTCAAGATGCTTTCTACAGGGTACAAATGTCTTTCAAAAAGCAGTTACTAACACCAACGTCCTGGCTAGAATAACTTGGGCTTGTGAGCACCTCCAGTACTCATATAGACCCCAAAGCTAACCAGCATTTGATTTCTGCAGAGTTACTACAGCTATCTTTTTCATTTTTTATTACATAGAATGAGGATCCGAGAAGGTACCAATGGAGACTTGATTAGACCTTTGGATTCCCCAGTCGTGGCTTTCAGTAACACGTACTGGGTTGTTACCAAGCTCTTTGCCAAGCTGGTGGCCCCATAAAAAATTAGTCATAATTGGATTTTCGCCCCGAATGAATTATTTAATCTAATTCTTATAGAGATAGCTTGGTAAATGTTGGGTGTAAACGTTGGAAACAATATTATCTTAGTATTTTTTTATGTGGAATGTGATTTAACTTAACGAACGCTCAAACGCAGTCCTCCCAAGCTACAGATAATCTGGTATTTGCCATGCATTAAATGCTACAATTGAAAGCAAAGTTCACCTCGCCATTCACACAAAGAAAATGACTATGAATTTCAAGTCCTCTTTATACCTGGAAGGTATCACATCTGTGTACTTGGAGCTTTTAGTCATTTAATATGCTTCAAGTGTTCAGCTTCTGAATATCTGGTGCAGAGTTAGGGGCTGGATTGGGGTTCTTCTGGGCACAGAACTTTATGTTATCTCAATCCAGCAACTGAACTAAGCATTGAAATGGGCATCAGGAAAGTGACGCTTCCTCTGGAGTTGCAGAAGGGTCTAACACTGTCAAGCTGCATAAGCACTGCAAGAAACCCTGCCTCTAGGTGCTGGCTTGCGGCTTGTCTTAAATAAAAGTGAAGCTGGAAATCAAGACCAGCTGTTGTTGAAATAATGCAAGCTTGGGCACGAACACAGTTTGTCACCTTCAAATAACAGTTTTAAATGTGTAAGAGGATTTGTTTTATTCATTCTACTTACTGTAGCTATTCCTCAGTCCTTGCCTCTTACAGCATACCTAAAGACAGCCAAGACATTGGATTTCATGTAATCTAGCTTGCCTTACTCCAGACTCCGAGGAATAACGACTAGAAAGACACTGAACACCATGCCAACAGACAACTTAGAAGCATTGAACATCTGCTGGTTTGTTTGTTTTTTTTTTTCACATCCGAAAAACCATGCTATGCCTTGTAAATATGTAGTGCTCTGCAAATCCATCTGCAGCGCCGGAGTGAGCCCATGCTCAGCAGGAGCGTGCTGGAGAGGAGCCAAAGCAAGAGGTGCCAGCAGCAATCCAACAGCAGCCCCGGGCCTCTGTGTGGTTCATATTCCTGGCTGCTTCACATCTCCTGGGTGGAGTATGCTTCTGGTGCTGTCATGCCAGCTCCTCTTTTCTGTCCTCAGGATGACTGAGAAATCTGCTGTGCTCAGAGCTCCCTTGTCCACTGCATCACAGGGTTCACACAAAACTGATTTCTAGGCTTTTTCCACATGCTGCTTCAAGAAATAAGGGCAGTCTGTCACTTAAAACTGTCCTTACATTGCCTAGTTTTTCATTTCAACACCTGAGTATTTTTTGTCTAGGTAGCTTAAGCTACATGTTATCTCCAAAAAGAATTGATCATAAGTACTTACTATGGTTAACTATCCCAAACAGAAATAACTGAACTGCCGATTGCTCTGAAATTAGAAAGATTATTTTCTGATTTAGAACGAAGATGCTAATAGTGAGAAACCTTTAAAGACTTTGATATGACTAGGACAAAGCTGAAAGGCAAGGTGTAGATCAAGCCTTGCATAAAACAGATGGAAGAAAGCCCTCCCAAACAACCCACAAGCTTTTCAGATACAAGCTGGAAATTACAGGCTTGTTAATTAGCTAATAAGAAAAGTCCTCATCTGCCTTATTCTCTGACTAAACACATCAAAATCAGTGAAGACAGAGACATTTCTCACATTGTTAAAAGTCAATTTAGTCAGACACCAAGATATTGGTTTCAATTTTGTCTTTGCACTAACAGCCCATACTTATGGTAGGATGACCAAGAGGGTGACCGTATTTTGAGCCCTCAGGAGTTGTTTTAGGACCCCACTAGTTATCATTTGCCATTGCATTTCACGTCATCCAAACCTTTGGACAGAAGTTGTAAAACCAAAATCAGAAGAACGGGAAGTAGGTTCCCCCAGACTGCTTCTCCTTGCAGCTGGGTGCTGAGCTTCTCCTGTGGCCTTTGGACTCAATGTACAACTACAAAGCTCTTTTGGAAGAAATAAATCCTTCCCAAAAGCAGGTCACAGTAACTGTACAGCTTGA